TTTTTAAGGCCAGGGTGACAATAGTTATGCCAATCAATTCAGATTTAAATTAAGAAGGGTGGCTCGATGTAATTGGTTGGTTAATGTCAACAAATTTAAGATTGCCAGTATTTATTCTAAGCTCACATGACCTGCTTGATGATGGTGGCCACGGGACTAACTGGAATACCAGGATGTGTTGTGATGATGAGATTTCAGGAGCATGTGGCAAAGATGAGGTGTCAGCCTGTCAGGAGCACATGGCAATGAGCTGATGATGAAGCATCAGGAGCATGTGGCTATGATTAGGTGTCAGGAGCATGTGGCTATGATTAGGTGTCAGGAGCATGTGGCTATGATTAGGTGTCAGGAGCATGTGGNACAAACCCATTGTTCACTTCAGAGTTAATTAAACAGTGGAAGCTATTAACATTGTTTAAATGAAAGAATTTTCTATTAAAATTATATTTAGGGATAGTACAGCAAAACAAATGAAACAAGTAGTGAAGAGTGTGGAATTGATCAGTGGCTTTAACTGGATTTCTACTGAAAAGGGTTACGAGTACTGTTGGCTGTTCTAGGCCAAAACCTTGGTTTATAGGGAGCACAGGGTAGGACTAGACACTAGAGGGACAGTGACACCAGGTTTGCACTTCCAGGCTAAACACAATACACAGAATGCTAGTGGCTGCTAGTTACTGAAATGGCGGAACTGAATTGAATGCGACTGTTGTTAGTTGTGCAAAAATTACTCTGAATCAAAATATGGAAAATAATTAAATTGAGTCAGGAGTTACCAAAAAATAATGGATTAAAACACAGACTGGTTGAGTGATAAAAGGTCAGATGCCTTCCGGCAACAATGCATGTGGCATGATGAGATGCATGAGGCATGATGAGATGCATGGGGCATGATGAGATGCACAAGGCATGATGTGAGATGCATGTGGTGTGATAAGATGCGCGTGGCATGGTGAGAATCACGTATGAGTTACAAGAGTGATGGGGAGTTGTACTTTGTTGTGATGATGTTGTGAAGTATTTATCCTAGTCCATGGAGGCTGGATGCCATACCAGTATTATCACCATCATGTGTCATGCAATATGTTGAAGAATTAAAATAATGTGATGTAGATAAGTCAATGGGATAAATGTGCTAAAATAAAATTAATGCATGTAATAAGTCTTTTTTGCTTCTGTCAATGCCAATTGCCAATAGCCTTGCCAGCAGCACAAAAACAGATTTGTATTCAGTGGTCATCTACATTATGCAGTTGTCAAACCTAACAAATCTTAGTTTTGACTGCTGACCAGTAGCTAGATTGAAATTTTCCTGCTTGTGAATGAAATATTGTGGCTCTAAAGTGACAAATTTTGATACCTAAATTTGGAGTCATGCAGTTTTATTAACAACTAAATGGTAAATAATTCATCTATCAGGAATCTCGTTACCGTCAACTGGGCCTACTCGGGACGGGTGCGGTATCTCGGGACAGTCTTCTGACACGGAGTAAAACTGTTTTAGTAGCAAAACTAATTGGAATATTGCAAAACGAAATATAGTGGTGTAAACGTCGACATTTTTCCTATCTAGGTAGTATAAAGGAAGTTCAAAAATACTACATTTTCTAGCTTTGAAAAATTCCTGAAAAAATGGTGAAAAACAATATTTTGAAAAGTTACTTCTGCTAAGGTCTGTAGTTAAAAAAATATTTGCCTTATTAAAAAATTTTGCTTAGAAAGAAGTGGCAGACAAGTGTAAGCATGAAAACTTTATTTGCGAAATTTACATACCTCAATCCAAAAAAATGGCAGCCATTTCCGCACGGTGGGGCTACTCGGGACACCCCCAAAAACGCATTTACAGTAGAACCTCAGTTAGCAAAGGCTCCAGTTAAGAAAAAATTGATTAATAACAAAGAATATTGATTACATTTACCTTGCTCAGCAAAAAATTTCACTTATCGAAAAATTAGTGCATCATCGGTCATCACAAAATTGTGCATAGAATGTCATGTATAGAATTGTGCACCAGGCATCATAGAATGAAAATTAATTGACCTAAACTATGATTTATTTCTCCAAAACATATGATGGTTGTCACTAAAACATTCCTTTCTGTTTCAGGTATGTTTTTCATGATTTTTTTTATAGTAAATTCACTTAACCCAATTAAAATGGTAATGAAAGAGGAGGACTTCAGAGTACTGTTAGTAATGGATGAGTACACTCTGCATGCTTCAAATGATTCAAAATGAAGTTTTATTCCAAGTGTCCCGAGTAGCCCTGTTCAACAGGGCTACTCGGGACACTTTTTTTTGCTTCTGGAACCTTACAAATAGCATATAGAATTTTTTTGGAGAAACCATGTGATAGCCCTTGCAAAGAGCTTTGAAATGAGCCTAAACTTGTTTATGAAATGTTTCATGGTAAGAAGTTATGAATGAAAAACATTCGAAATCGTCCCGAGTAGCCCCGGTATACGGTACTACAAAAGTGTCAGGAAAGCTTTTTCATATACTATATATATATTTATAGGTATAGGTATTCAATGCCAGACCAGTAGGGAAACGTGGGGCAAATGAACCACTGCAGGTCACAGGCCCATAGCGGGTTTCTTGCTAAGTATGGAAGATATTGGGCCATGTTTTCTACCACCGGTCGACAGTTTCACTGGGATGAAGTGTATGAATTTAAATTTGCTAAGAGTTTGCGTTGTTAGGTTATGTGTGAATAACTGTTTTAGCCCAGATAAAAGTTTTTTTTGCTGCCAAATAAAACTGTTTTCATTTTCTGCAGATGAAGCTTTTGAAATTACTGTGAATTATATTTTGAAAGTAATATTTATAGGGATAATTTTGAGTTCAGGCTTAGACTTTTAGCTTTTAAAATAAAATGTTGACACAATATAAATTGAAATGATACCTAGTGGGGCAATGGGCCCATGCGTGTCACAAGGCAAAGTACCCATGGGCCATGGTGGGCTCAATTCCCCTCTGTGAAGTCTTGTGTTATACATAATTAGATTTGTCTCAATGACCTTTTCAAAACCATGACTAGCTTTTTGAATTACAAATTACCCTTCACATTGCATGATTTTTTGATTTGCTGCCTCAAGGCAGCAGGTTCTAGTTTCTAGTTATGTGTGTTTGACCCCTTATCGAGTTATTGACTCTTGCCTTGCCAAAAGTTGATTGCAGTCAACACCAATGAGCCAAAAGTTGATGAGTTTTTATGGTGTTGGCTGAAATCACGATTAAGTATGAATTCCCTGCACATAATATCTGGATTATGGACGAAACTGAAATAAAGTTTTTTACTGATGAACTAAATATATTTTTTCTAGTTTAGGATACATTTTTTCATGTCAAGGATGTATTTTTTATTGCAAGAATGTATATTTCAAGTCAAGGATATCTATTTTATATCAATGAAACATTTTTCTTCACTTCAGTGATAAATTTTTTAAACCAAGTGTATATTTTTTCAAGTTAAGGATATGATTTTTAAGTTGTTAATGAATGAATGAATGTCATATTTATTATTACATTCTTCTTATTTTTAATTGTAAAATGTTGTTTTATCATTTTTAAACAAAAAATATGCAATTGTGGTAAAGGGACCAAGGGTGGGCACCTTGCCCCAAGCCCATGGGCCCATTGCCCCAGGGGTGGGGCAATGGGCCCATTTTGACACTTTTATAAAAAGTGTTTAATTAAAAGTTGAATAACTCTATTAGCATCTAATTTACATCATACATTCCTCATTAATTGTACCTTTAAACAAAACAAAGAACCACCTTGTATCAATTAAAACCATCAAAAATTTAGTTTAAAAAAAGGTGGGGCCTGCTGCCCCATGTTACCCTACTGTACAGTTTTTAGTGACAAGTGGCCAGGTAATGTACAGTTTCTGATGAGAAGCAACTTCTGCAACATATCTTGGTAGTAAAGAGAAGTTTGTACTTCATATAATATTTAATTAGATAGTAACTTTCAGTTACATTGTCACCCTCCTTTTTGCATGATTTTTAGCTTTTAGGTAATATGTGAGCAGGTGGTTAATTGGTATTAATGATACCTACTCAGTTAAGTTGATTTTCCTACTGGGTACTGACTTACCTAACACCAGTGAAAATGATTTAATATTGATCAGTTCACACTTGCTTCACAGGTCAGTGTATTATTAGGGAGGGGTTATTAATGGTGGAGTTCAATAGTCAGGAGAGGTTATTTATTTATATCAAGCCAAAAGCTATGTGGAGTAGCAAAAATCAATGTGTATTTTTAACTAGTTGGCTCTTCAAGGCTGTGAATTAGCTGTCTGGATATTGGAATGCACTCAAGGGTCCTGTAGTTAGCATTAGCAGTATTGTCCTCCATCATGAAGCTCCAATGAAGCAGCCAGCACTTTCAATGAGTTCCAGACTATGCAAGGTGCAGGCATCCTTGAAGGCTATGGCCATTGTCTGAAGGTTGGAAGGGAGAGGAGTGTACCACAAGACTCCTAACATTTTTCCAAGTGGATGGCTGAAAGCTGGGGCCAGGGCAAAGAGAGTTATGGAAGGTTGCTCAGATCAGTAGGTCAGTCAGATGAACTAAAAGCCTCAGGAAGGAGAAAAATGTGGCCAGATCATTAGCATAATGAGCAAAAAATAATAGCAATAATGCATAAATTGATAAAACAATGATTCAATAGGGATTGGGAAATGGATTCTGGGAGACTAGCATGTATGTGGTCTTGAATGCAGATTGAGAAGAGAGTCTGCCTCAAAATTTGCATCATAATCAGCTGGCTAGGTTGTGATGATGTTCACTGTCTGCAAAATTTGAGAGGAAAGGAGAGTACTATTTTAAGAATAACAGATGCCAATAAAATTTTCATTTGACGGTTTTCATTTGATGGTTAGCAACAATAATATGGGAAAATATCAAAATTTTTCATGCTTACTCCAGTCAGGTTCCTCCTATCCATCATGTGAACACTTGTATTATCAAGCCATCATCCTTCTACAGAATCACCATTCATTTGATTTATTTCTTTTCAGGAATGCTTGTGCGTAAAGCCAGTAGTAGCAAAAAATTAAAGTATATACTATGAATTGGTATAGGTTATTGTCATGCAAGCTTTTAACATCATTTAGTTTGTTCCTCATTCATTTTCTGGCTGTAGGTTTGACAGATGAACAGGTGAGGATCTCTCTTATAATTAAACTCTGAGCTATCATATTAGAACCTCAAATTCATTATATCTGTTGATGTCAGCTAAATTTTATTGGTCATATATGATATACCGTGCTTTTAATATGGAACTTCCTCTAGGGGAAGAGAGAACAATATTGCTTTGTAAATACTTACGAGAATTATGTAATGCAGTTATTGCTCTGAAAGTTTTTTGGCCTTGTATTAAAATTATACCAAAGACCAGCCAAAATAATTTTATCAATTAGCATTATAACCTATTAAATTGATGTGAAGTTAGATTATAATTTAAGTAATGCTCTGATTATATTGATTGGTCTAATGATAGTTATAGTGACCTTTTACCATTTTAATTATTCATCATTCATATAAGGCATGCAACGTGAGCTGGCAAGAGCAGTGTGGAAGCAACGAGGTATGTGTTGCGAAGGCTGCAGGTGGAGATGCAGGAAGCTGTAATTGTCTACCCAACTTTTGGCGTGATGATCACCAGCACTGCCAGCCTGTGCCTCCTGCCTCATGTGAGTTGGCTTGAATGCAATAATTATTATAGAATTTCATCTTGACAATGATGCATAATTCACTGCAACCTATACTCATGGCTTTATGTTTATCTGCTTGAATGCAACAACTACTATGTGACCTTGCCTTTACAATGAATTATAATTTACTGCAGTCTGTGCTCCCGGCTACAGGTTTGTTTGCTTAAATGATAAATAATAATATGACCCTCTCGCCTACCATTATTATTTAGAAATTGTTTTTTAAAGCTTGTTTGGTGAGTGTTTTCTTAGGCTTTAAACATTTTAACATTATATCTTGCTAAAAAAATTTCCATGAAAATTTTTCACACCAACTTAATTTGTCAAAGTTAATAAAGTCAACTTTGACACCAACTGTCAAAGTAGTTTGTTGATAATTTAAACAAACTTGTTTGAACTGGATTGAGCTTTTCACCTTTCATCAAGATTATTCTTCTTTTATGTAACTGAAGATCTATATTACAGACAACCACTCTGGTGTGGCATACGCTGCTGCAGTGCTCATCACATTACTGGTGATAGTGGGTGCAGTAGTCACCTTGGTGCTGCTGAACCAGCGCTACAACATCCTCGTGCCGTTCAGTGCACTCTGCCCCACATGTGGGGCGCTGTCCACCTTAGTCACGTCAAGTGTCAGCCGCTGCTCAGCACGTCTCTCATCCCTCAATCTGTTTGGGGTGCGATCTGGCAGGAGTCGAATGATGGATGACCTGAGTGGGCCTGAGGATGACGATTCTATAGCTTAGTGCTCGTGCTGTTTTTGTAACAGTAGTTGGGAGCATTTTTCTCATCATTCCCACAAGGAAAATTTCCCTGTTTGCAAGCTTTATGTCTGAAAGTTGCATGCATGCGCTTGTTATTTTTATGCTTAATGATCCAAATCCAGTATAAATTTGTTTCCGCGTAGATATGTGATGAAAAAGGATACTTTAGAAATTCAATCCTTTCGTCACATTGCAAGATAAAAATGATCCACTTTGAATTTTTTCAGCATTTTATAGGAGATGAGCCAATCATCACTAAATAGCTAAACCATTCACTATAATTGGTATGACTGCCCCATACAATAGTCAATAGGTTCATGTAAGCATTACTGGAAGGAATACCATCAGTTGACTTTATTTACTCACTCGCACCCGACATTTCTGCCAGCCAATGTGCCTCGTTAATGGTGTAATGCGGGCTTTGTAACGGGCTTCAAAAAGTGTACATTTGTCAATCAAAGCACAAGTTGGACGTTGAATTCTGCTATTATTTTTCAAAGAATGATGCAAAAATTGTACCGTTCAATTGCTTTTTTTTCGTCGAGTCGCCTTCACAAAGTTCCCTTGTCCACCAAGCTTTATTTATGGTGCGATTTACGCGATCGCCTTTAATTTCTGTTACCCCTAATTTATGATTTTAGGAAATTTTGGGCAAGTTTATTTTAAGCTGCCGGCATCATGCTAATGCTAAATGATGGTAGTTCCATAATCGTGCGTTTCCTTTTTATGCATAACTTCTAGTAAGCGCAAAATTTTATTAAGGGCCAATTAATAGCCCTGCTTCCTAGAAAGTTTTAAATACCAAGCCTCATTTGATAATGATCTGACTATATGTTTTGATCTGCTCGCGATTCGTGTTTTTTCTGTACATATAAGGTCACATAAGTGCTCGCTAAGCTTCGTTCTATAGACTAGTGTAAGCTTAAGATCCAACCTAGTCATGCTCTGAGGGATGTTTTGTCCTCACCGAATCGTTGGACGCCATTTAATGATAAACTGATACTCAATAATTTGACGAGCATATTTATAATAATATTTATAATAGAGGACTCCTAGCTTCCGTGTTCGCTTTAAAAAATGGAAATTTCACCCGATATTTGCCAATCTGTAATTTTCAGCATTGAATGCAGCATATAAAACCTTTCATTGTCGACAAAGAAGCTGTATTTAACTCTAGTTGCATTTTGGCGGTAATTTGTTTTCTGAAATTATGCTTGGAAAATCTATGCTTGTTTCTTGGCCTCCGCTGTCCACAAGTTCTAATTATAAAAAAAATTTCAGTCGTTTAAAGTTTCCATACGATTATCATCATGCTAAATGCAGCTTTTACATTACGATGTCGCCAACTGCCTCGTAAATTTGTATTAATAATGTATGTAAGCCGTAGTAATCGTAATGAGACGATTGAGGTCAGTCTTAGTGAAGTTAGGCGAAATAATTTAGATCAGACTTATGGAGTGCTCCCCTGACGAGTTCATTGTAGTTTAACCTGCTTATGTACCACGAAATTTGTCTGATTCTATCATCGGTTCAATATACGGATTTGTTATGACGAGTACAGCTGAGACGCTGGAGACCGCTGAGAAAATACTCGACATGATGGCTATTGGTAATGACCTGCTCGATCTAAGCTTGCGAACCCCCGCGAGGTTAACTATATACTTTTTTCTGTAAGAGCTTCGGGCTGGGAATCTCAATCAGTTTTAAAGTTTTTTGTGCACATGTATGAACATTTCGGGCTGGAAATTTAAATAATTTTTAATGGTGTTTCTGTGCACATTAATGAATAATCTAAATTTGAAAGAGGATTTGACTTTTTTGTCAACTCGGAAGTATTGACTTCCGAAAGCCAAGTTACTTTGGCTCATGTTCTTATCTGCTCTAGCACACGTGTTCCTAAACGTTGCCCCATTTCCAATTATTATGTTTTGCTCCTCCATGTGATTATTACATTCGCATGATTACACATTTTTTCCTTCCATCTAAATTAAGCTGGTAAAAATTTTCTCCGTTGGTCGTTTAGGTTCGACAAGCAAACTTTTTTAATCACTTATGGTACAAAGTCGCGTAAATACTCATTTCCATCATGAGCTAAAAATTTCTTAAATGCTTCGTTCAAAAACCTATCTCCTGAGAAAAAAGAGCGTTTTAGTAAAATATTACACAATTTAAAATCGGCAAAAAACACTCTGAATTAGCGACAAATAACGCGATCGTCTTGGTATAGACCAAATTAATAAACAATTTAACCGTCATGTTACATTTTGAGAGGACTATGAATAAATTTGATGGTGAGAAATTATTTCAATTAAATTATTGGTTATTAAGAGACAAATCTTGGTTAATAATTCGAGCAACTGATGTGCAACTTTATAATCAGGTTCCATTCCTTACTGAACTTACAGAGCTTCCTTAGACTGGTAACCGAGGCGGTCTCGTATTTTAACGTAAATGCTTCTATGATCGACATCATCAAGTCTATCAGGCGTGGGCGATTGGCTGGGGTCATATTGAGCTACTCTATCTTGGAAAACTTCGTGGTCATCGTAGACAATCCCGCCGCGCTGCTTCTTCCCTTTAAGATGAATGCCGTAAGGCAGGAGACTGGGAGCTCTGAGCACTGCACCGCGACCTCCAGCCGTCCACACGCGCAGCGAGCACACCGTCAGAGGGTGCAGCCACACTGACACGAATCCTGCACGTCCAGGTATATAATAGCAGATGTTCTAGTTATTATACTGACACACTGACACGAATCCTGCACGTCCAGGTATATAATAGCAGATGTTCTAGTACAATATGGCATTATACTGACACACTGACACGAATCCTGCACGTCCAGGTATAGATAGTAGCAGATGTTCTAGTACAATATGGCATTATACTGACACACTGACAGGAATCCTGCACGTCCAGGTATATAATAGCAGATGTTCTAGTACAATATGGCATTATACTGACACACTGACACGAATCCTGCACGTCCAGGTATATAATAGCAGATGTTCTAGTACAATATGCATTATACTGACACACTGACACGAATCCTGCACGTCCAGGTATAGATAGTAGCAGATGTTCTAGTACAATATGGCATTATACTGACACACTGACACGAATCCTGCACGTCCAGGTATATAATAGCAGATGTTCTAGTACAATATGCAATTATACTGACGCAAATCCTGCAAGTTATGATATATTTAATCCCAGATATACCGGTAAAATAGGCAATTATAATGAGAGACCCTAAAATAGTTACAAAATTCTACTCAATGGCACAACAAAATAATATACATCAGAAGGCAAAAGTAATGTGTGAATATCACACAATCGGGATTAATTTAACCGATAAATACGATAAACTACACAAAAACTAACAAAGAAAAAGCAAGATTAAAGTCAAACCTAGAGAGGGCAAGACAATGTCGGCGGCAGCGACGCCAAGTTTTGGTCCCGTCACAGTGAAGTTGACAGGCTCCAGCGCCGCCCAGCGACCGAGGCGCTCAGGAGACCCACGGGGCACCATGAGTACCTCGTCCCCCAGGTGGTCTCGGTACACTGACGCTGCGTCCACTGTCTTCACGACGGTTCTTGGGACCTCCTTGGCGCAGTACACAGTTAGTCTGCGTGTGAAAAATTACGTGATAGAGTGAAAGCCTGTAACTCATAAATTAGTGGCTAGTTAAATGTATCCGCGATTATTCAACAGTACAGCTTGGTCACCGAGTTATTCACTTGGTCAATGACTTATTAGACATAGTCTCAGTTATACGAACAGGTCAGGTTAGTTAGTCATGAATGGTCGCACGGAGCGACGCGTGATTAAATGACATGAAACCGGAGCAAAATTTTAATTTTTAGAATTTTTGAATGATAAATATGAGTCTCTGCTAACGGTTAACAGACATCAGTTGAGCCTCAGCGTAAGCATCTTGGATATTGGACGGTTGATAGTTTTGCATCATGTTGGTAACAACAAACGATGGTTAAAACGAAAACACTCCCTTCAAATGTAAGCTAAACAAACATACTCCCTACCAAATTTGAGAAAAGAAAATTCCTCCCTTCAAATGTAGGTCAAAACAAAAACTCTCACTTGAAATTTCAACCAAACGCTAATATTCCCTTCGAATGTTAAACATGATCATACCTTTCAAACGTTAAACAAAGAAAATCATATCGTTCAAATGTTAAACAAAGATCACACCATTCAAATGTTAAACAAAGAAAATCATACCCTTCAAATGATAAACAAAGATCGTACCCTTCATGTGTAGATCAGAACGTAAACACTAACTTGGCATTGTTATGCGGGGTCCAACCGATGTCTAGAGGCTTGGGATGGTGAAGGTAAAGCACGTCAATGCGCGCCAGCCCTGCCAGCAGCAACGTCCTGCTGTTGCCGAGCCTGAACGTCTGCGGCTGTATGGTGGCGCGAGGCCTCACCAACTTTATTTCGTCTTCGGTGAGCAGATCCAAAATCTGGTAATTAGTTATAGTAATTATTAGACAGTTCTTTAAAACATTAAATATCTTTAAACATTAAATATCAATGTTGGCATTAACGGATCCAGTCAGCATAAATCATAAATTTTCGTATAAACTAATTTAGAATACAAGTCCAAAAATGTACTGAAAAACTTTTCCATAAAAATTTAGAGCACAAATAACTCACGAAAAAACTAATAGGAATTCACTTGCAGAAGTTACAGCGTGGAACCTGCACTAAAATTTTCAAAATCGGTGTTTTTGTCATTATAACAACTATTTAAGTACTTACATATCATTAGTTTGCTGAAATTGCAAGTAACAGAATATGTAAAAGCAAGAATAGCCCTAAGGAAATTCAACATGTCTTCACCAAAAACGATATTGATGTGGTGAAATTAATTTCCATTTTACTTGATTTTTATTCCTCATCCAAGTTCTTACATTATTAGTTTTTAAATTCACAAGTTATACAAGAATTTGAAAGCAAAAGAAACATTTACCTGCATGGGCATGACAGCACTTGGAGTGTCCCGTAGCCAAACAGATCGCTGCTGTTGTTGGGTCTGGGGGTGTTGTTGCTGCTGCAGTCTGACGTCCGATGTTGCAGTAAACAAGGAGTGACCGCAGTCTTCTGTTCTTGTTGTGACAGCTCCATTCTCATCTACTTTAAAATAAAGTTTATAACGGGTAGCATTGCAATTCCTAAAAGTTGGAGGTGTTAATGACAGTCACAGTGCCAGTGCCTTCTAAACTATATTCATAGTGTAGCTTAAAAGAAATTCAATTGTAGTTCTATTATTATTATAGAAGTATAGCAGAGAAGCAAATTTTTTATGAGCACCAAGAAAAACGTGGATATAAATGAAGAGTGCAACAAAATTGTTTTTTCATATGGTGCATGAAACGGTAAAAAAATATCAAGAATTAATACCAATTTTTTCTTCATACCTACGTTTTGGTGAGTAAACTGTGAAAGTGATCAAAGGAAAATGCCTTTAGTATTTATATTATCCATGAAGAAATCTTCAAGTGTTGGTACATGCCTAGGGGAAGTAGAGGCGTAGTCTTGGAAGACAGGAGTGGAGCGTTATGGAGGTGGGGAGTGGGAGGGGCAGGCAGGGACGTCTTTACAGGAATAGGACGTGGCAGATATTTGAAGGGCCGCACTGTACGTTCGATGAGATCATTCCTCTCTATGGAACACAGCTTTCCTTGCGACGCATCAAGCTCAAACTGCAGAAATTTAAAAAAGCTTTTAAGCATGATGGTGAAGCAACAGGAAAAGTGTTCATTGTGTAAAAATGAAATCATTTCAGTTCAGTATATGTAATAAATCAACATAAGATTCTTCTTCATAATATGTATACTGATTGAATTTTTTTTACATTCCTAAATAGTTTACAGTAGACTATCAAACTAAAAAATATCTAAATTACAGAAAATTAACCTTAACTGTGCTTCACTAATACACTGTAGGCATAGTAACAACCACATGGATCTTGATCTATATAAACCTTATTCTCAAAACGTCACGCACTTTACTGAAAAATTATTTGGTAATGTTAGCCTTAAAACCAAATAAATGAGTTTCCATTTCCCCAGGAATTTAAAAGTAAAGAAAATAACCAAAAAGTTCACCATTTCTTATAAGAGAAAATGTTTCGGAGTATTGATGAAACTAGAAATGGAAACGGAGTTTCCATTTCTAGTTTCATTTTCCATTATACGATTTAGAGAAAATATAATGATTCTTCTATTTTGAAGGGTTGATGAGTTTGTTACAGGTAAACCACTACAGAATGCATGAAGGAATTTCTATGTTTTGCATATTTAAAAGACAGGCATAGAACCTTAAGCAGATTGAGGTTGCTGAGTGGCCACTTGTATGCCTCAACACGCTCAGTCAAGCTATGATGTTGGTGAGATCCGAAAGACTGCAGCAACGCTTTGAACAAGGTGGTTTTGCCACAGCCTGCGCTCCCTAGCAAGAATATGTCACCTGTAAAGACATTACAAGCATGAGTGAAGAATACTCAATAGTTTACATTTTGCAGCTATAAAGAACAATAGAGAATCCTCTACCATAATTCATGTCATTGATCATGCAAGACACCATAAGCCAAATCTGATATATTAACAGATGAAAATTGAACATGATTATCATGTACAAAAGTAATCTACATTATCGTACCGTTTCCACGCCACTGGCCAAGTATGAGAGAACTGAGCTGGGTAATTCCAAAGCCAGTCTTAGCAGAGACCAGCACAGTGTCGATGATGTTGGCAGATGCTAGGCATGACTTCTTGAGCAGCTCAGTGGTATTGTGCCAGATAGTCCTCAGAGATTGTTTAGAGTCCCTAGGTAACAAGTCAAATTTGTTGGCCACTATAATAACAGGCTGACCCCGACCTGTAAAGAATTACCAATATAAATATGACCTAAATTATCTGGGGTTATAGTTAAGTTTGAAGTCAATAAGGTCACATTCTAAAATCTTTCTGCATAGCTACAATGCCTATCATACCTATCTTCCACATCAACATAAGATTAACGCCAGTTGAGTACTAAATTTCATGCATACAAGTGTTATAAAAAAAATGACACGGATATAAATTTGAATTTATCCTATCACTGTTAATTTAGTACATTGAGGGTTATAGATACAATAACATACCAATGATTTCCATGATGCTGGGATGTATTGAGCAGGGTGCATCCATCAAATCAAGAACAAGTAACACAAGGGAGAACTGTGTGCACATTGGCCGGAGAACATCTAAATACTCTTCATGACGTACAACAACCTGCAAATAAGCTAAAATTAGAATGCTTCCCATGCTGTAGTAAAAAAAAGGACTTGATTAAAGAACAATTAAAAGTAAAACATATAAGTTTTATGAACTCCTTCAGAGAAGACAAGTTTGCCAAAGTTATCCAATGATATTTTGCCCAATCATTCTAAAATAACTCATGTTGAGTAGATGTCAAAAAAATGCAATATCTGATTATTTGTTTCATTTTCTGGTTTTCATCAAAAACTTTATGAAGAAAAGAATATTCTTACCTGCAAAGTGGACTTATGAACAGCATCAAAACTACAGCTCTGGCAGATGTTTTGAGGATTCTCAAGATAATCTGTTGAAATTGGCAGCTGCTCCAAGTTATCTGCACATCAATTTTTATACTGAGACAATAGAACTAATTGAGACAATAGCAAACAATATTTGATCAGTATTAATGGCGACAAATTTACTGGCCTATTGAGTCAAATATCTGAGGTTAAAGGATTAAAATTATGCCATATTCATCCCATGCCATCTTCACTGAGCATCATCTGCATAAATGTTGGCAAATCCTTCAAGGAATTTTACTTTAAAATTTACCTATTACAGCAGGATGCATCAGAGAATTTAAATTTTACAATGATTCCCATACCTGATAATGGTAGGTCTCCAAGAAGTGTATTGCACACGCTGCAAACATTTGCCAATGGATTTTTCAAACTTGCTGCAGCAGGCACTTCATAAGAGCAGTTGTGTATACTTGAGTTCAGTGAGCTTGAATGTGATGGGCATCCATTCCTGTTGAGCAACTCCTCACCACTGTCGACTGGGCTTGTACTGTTCTTGCCTGATTGGTTCCAAATGGGTGTGCTTGCATTGGATTGACTGGGCTTACTGACATTGTAGCAATACTTAGAGGATTTCCGCCGAACAGGAGAATTTTTATTGAGATTTATAGGTGTAATATGACCTGCTTCATACTGATCAAGTAGTGCAGCCAATTCCTTTTTTGAGTCTAACTCTGGCAGAGACTCATACTGTATTCTATTTTTTTCTATCATTGCAAAGTTTTTATTGGTATCACATGAACTTGCATCCAGTAAAAATTTGGTACTTTTGGCATACGGGAAAACTTCTGAGTCTTGAGGAGTTGCCACTAATGATGCAGTCTCCATTGCTTTTCTGTCCCTCATTTCAACTATGGCACTAGCAGCATTCTTTTCTCTCTGGCTTTTCACTAAATCAATATGTTTGTCCCTTAAATCATATCGATGAGAAATTGGCATCCGGTAGCTTTTGGGGAAAAGTGAGCTATACAAGACACGAGTATCTTGGAGGTGACGCACTTGTGGAGGTATCATTGTAATTGGGTCATCATTTCTATTTTCAGTATTTTTGACTAGACTAACATTTTCATCGGCCAGTGTGATTTTTTTCTGTGGGTTTTCTTCAACATGTGTTATTTCATTTTGCTTTGAGATCTGTAACTGTATTTCTGTTGTAACTGTAGATTTGTGCTTACATATAGATGCAAAGATTTCTTTTTGTATTATATTTATTTGATTCAAACTTTTATAAATAGACTTGCTTCTATGCAATAAAATAAGTTTGTTTACCATAGCTATCATCCTGAATCAAGGTGCCTTGAAACTAAGTTTCAAAAACATAAGCGACACATTTATATACCTGGAAGTAAAAGTCAAAGGAAAATTTGTCATTGATTTAATGCTATTAAACTAAGGAAATTCAAGGGCTTTCAATACTTGGAAAAAAAACCTAACTGAGATAATCTGAGACTATTTGCTTAGAACATTGCTGCTTTGCAAATGTATTCCTCACAGTCAATATCAATGCCCACTAAGAGCTATGAGCAGCCAGGCAAAAAGTGATGAAATTTTTGTTACAGGTTCACATTCATGTTAAAGTGTTGACCAATGAATCTGAATAAGAAACACTAAAATTTAGACCTGGTATGTGCACACAAACTTCACCCTCATCATCAGCAGCAGAGAATATTTAAAATTCTAAATAAGAATGGTTATGATCATTGATGAAGCTAAAATCTTGACTTCAAAATTCTTTCAGTAGCCAGTTTGGGCAAAGGCAGATACACAGTTGTGTCGGAAATGAGAGTTACCATGACCTTCTACCATAAATAAAATCTAAGTATTTTCCTCTACTTTACTTTTACCTTTACTGGTACTCTACCTTTTACCTTTACCTTTACTGGTTACCTTTTTACTTGAAGGTACTGGAAAGTACCTTTTCTGGTACTTTCATTAACATCAATTGAATGGCCTGTTTACCTTGTTCCAGGGTTAAGAAACCAATTCCCCAGTATTAATAATGAATCATTTACAATAAAGTCAGATATAATTGAAGAAGTCAGCTAACATGAATTATGATGACTATAATATGAAGATGTTGATTATGATATCAAGTTACAGAATCTAACATTGCTGCAATTACCTGGGCAAGTTATTAAGAAGAAATATCTATATCAATATATCAGATTAATTAATGTTTTTTTCCAATAATTGTAACATGTGTTTCTTTTTTCATTTTGACAGTAAGGTCTTAATGCATCTGTCAACTTCTTTTCTAATTCAAACTTATTTACTTTTGTTAACATGAATTCTTACTATCACACTTAATGCAATTTAAGCACTGGAGTTTCCACTATCCAATTGCATTTTTGTGGTATTGCTGATCTTACAATATTACCCCTCATTCATTAGATTCCAAAATGGTTTTGGTTATAGATAACTCTCTTGTTAAGTTTATTTCTGTAGATCAATACATTGAGATGACATAACATCAATATCACTTTGCAACAGCTCTTATTTTGGTTGCCTTAACAAAACTGGGCAACAACTCTATAGCACAGTTGAAAAAGCTTCTTAGTTATCATGTGGCAATTGAACACTGCAAATAGTAGTTTTGATAAATAAATTTTTTTTTCACAGGACAGTAGCTGCCAAGTGGCAACTTATGAGGCATTGATGGTAGTTAAATTAGATGCTTGTCACAACTTAAAACTAAATTCTTTATCACCATGTTTTAGGATCTATATCCTATCCAAATTAACTCGCAAATCTTAATTGCTCATTACAAATTACAGAATCAAAGAAAATGATATGTGATTCAATATATATAGGTATATTATTAGTGTAGTTAGGCAGAAGCTGTTCTTTAATGCAAGTTTCATTGAAGACCAGAGTATATCTTATTAACTATTTTCTTATTGCTCTTCTCTATTTGGTAACTCAGGCTTTTTGTGGGATTATAAAGTGCAAATAAAGGTTTCCAATAGATATCTTGAAAACCTTTTTTTTTAATTGAAAACAAAATAAAGTAAGGAAATAATCTGTAATTTTTCCTATCGCAGGGCATTGATAATACATACTTATATTCCAAATTTTGAGATCAGTTCAGGACTGAAAAAATTATGATTGGTTCAGTTACCTATAAATGAGGTGTTACCCTATAATTGAAAACAATGTAATGTAAAAATCTGCAATTGTTCTTATCGCAGGGCATTGATAATAACTACTCATATTCCAAATTTCTAGCAGATCAATTCAGTATTGAATGAGTATGAGTGGTTTGGTTGAGCAAAAAGTTAGGTTGAGTGTTTGTGTTTGACTCTGCAAGCAAGTTTGCAAGCAGGTTGGAGAAGTGTTGATTTGTTAGAATAACCCATTTTAGGTTACATTTTTAAAAATCACCCGTTTTATTTTTTACTTGTCATAGAAAAATTACACCAATATTCTGGATTAGCAGGTTGCAAGCTGCATTGCCAAGATATGGATTGTGTTGCCAAGAAATTTTTAATAAGAAAATGCTGCTAACAACTTTGATAGTATATTCCTTACTCTCCATGCACTGCAACACTTACACTCATCGCAACTGATATTTCCGGACAAGCTTCACTGCATCCTGATCCATCCAACATACCAGAAACCTTACTGTGTGTGCTTGTGGTCTTTCAGATTTTCAACTATTTTCTAAATAGTTGGCTGAATACTGGTGAATATCTGACATGCAATCATTTCAATTCAAATGTTTCAGCATGATTTTCAGAAGGCATAAATATTGTTGCTGATGCGTCACCAAAGATCTTGCGATATTCACCCACTTTCTGCACCCTGGACGTCAGAGTGGTCAGACTGCATTATCATGTGTTCAGTTACCACTTAAGTGCAGCCAAATGTTAGTTTTGCTGTTCACCTGTTTTAGGGTAAAAATAGAGATACAGAGTCCGCACAGAGATCGGGATGCCACATCGCTATTTGGCATCAGATGGCACATAAATTGAGGAGAAGCAACTAGTTCGAGATCTTGGAGTTTTGAAGAGTACTGAAGCCATGTTTGATGCCCATATCAAGGAAATAGTCATGCACAGCTGGCAACGGATGGGGTGGATAAGGTGAACATTTAGAACGAGTGAGAAGCAGCACCAATAATTACACTCTTCAGAGCCCTTGTGCTCCCAAATCTTGAGTATTGTTGCAGTGCAGCGGACCTTCACATACGGGATCAGTGGCATGAGGGAGCTGAACTTGGACTACTGAGAAAGGCTGAAACACCTGATATGTACTCAATGGAGAGGAGAAGAGAAAGGTATATCAAACTGTACACTTGGAAGATGATTACCAGACTTGCTCCCAACTTTGAGAGCGAGACCTCCAGAATAGTGACACGTTACAATGAAAGGAGGGGGAGACTGTGCAAGGTTCCCCCATTCAATAACCTAGCAACAGCCACTGGCCAGAGTACAGACTCTCCGTGAGTGATCACTGTCTGTTGTAGGACCGAGGCTCTTTAATGCCCTGCCAAAAGCGCTGAGAGGAGGGGAGTTCACCCTTGCAGCATTCAAGAGACGAATGGACAAGTGGTTGAGAAAGAACCCGGATTGTCCAGTAATGAGAAACTACCCTCAGCAAGTGACAAGCAACAGCATCTTGCATCAGCTGGCCCAAAGGAAGGCAAATAAACGGAACAAGTCCAACATTACATCAGGGACCCTAGGGTGGGGTGACCTGCCTAGCGACGACTTGGAGACGGAGGATGACAAAGGCGGCGCATCAGCGTGACCGGGGACTAGGAAGTCCCAAACTCATCATAAGGTCATAAGGGGTAACACATGCACAGACTTTGTAAATATGTTCACGGCTTGTTAATGGCTTTTCATGGCTGAGATATGGAATTTACGTCTCAAAGAAATGGAATCACAGCTTGAAGAAATGGAATCATAGCTCAAATAAATAGAATCATGGCTGCCCTGCCAAATCCATAAAACCACGGCTCAAAAAATTCAATCGTGACCTGCCAAATAGATATATTCCATGCCTGCAGCTGCATGATGTGGAGTATTGTGGACAGTGGAGTGTGGACGTGGTGGAGCTAAGTGACTGTCCACATCCGGGAATTCCATATGCCCATGGGGCATGGGCCATGACTCTGGCCAATATCACCTCTTTAAGTAGCCTCATTAGTTTTTACAATTTCTTCACTGTAAAATAAGAAAAACAGCCAATTTTCACCTTTGATTTATAAAATTTACCATGAAATCATTTTGGCCAACAATTTTAGGAAACTCCTGAGAGTGAGTCCAGACTCACTCCAGAGTCCTGCCTGTCAACCTGTGTGCCTGATATTTCAAATTGGTTGTCACTTGTCAAGTAATTTCAACTAAGCAACATAAAAGTAAGAAAGCCATTTTATTTTTTCGATAAATTCAATTAGCAGGTTCTAGGGTCAACCAGTCAGGGATTTGAAGGGAAAATAAATATCAGTTATCACAAAAAGTATCGACAAAAATTCTAGTCAGATCTTTAGACATTTACTGATTTAGAGCTTACCAAGTTAGGGAGTCCTACACATGTGAGATATCTATACTAAATACTCTATAGTTTAGTATGCTTTATACTTATAGCCTATAGACTAATATAGGTTTAAGGTTGTTTATCTTTACTGTACTGACAGACGCCAGTTACAGTTAGACTTTGTTGTGCCGTTGTCATTTGTGGACCGACAAGCTTCTATTTTCGTGCAAACATTTTTTGGTGCTTTGAGCCTTTGAATATGTTTGAAAACGATTCAGGTCTTCTGGCGAATCTGCCGCCTGCATTATTCTTTTTTCTTTCGTTTCAGATTTGTGGGAGCCTCTGAAGACTTGTCCAATGTGGCCCCACGACAGGGTTTTCAGTTATATTTGCCTAAGTAGTTTCTTCACGTAG